AATCTTGCCAAGGAGTTGCCGCCATTCATCCTCAATTGCCCGAACCTAACATTAATCGACTTGTCAGTGAACCACTTGAGTGGTCCAATACCAGAATCCTTAATGACCAGCTTACAGAAGCTTGAGTACCTCTATTTCACCTACAATTCCTTTCAAGGGAAATTGCCTGTAAACCTGTTTAAGCTTGCTTCGCTCCAAGTATTACGTCTTGGATACAACAATTTCACTGGTGCGATACCCACTGAGATTGGTTCCATTACCCGACTTCAAATTCTTGATTTATACAACAATTCGCTAAGCGGACGGATTCCTCCTTCTATAGGCCAACTCACCATGCTTGAATTTCTTGATCTCGGTCATAATCGATTGAATTCTACTATTCCTTCCGAACTTGGCCTTTGTACTAATCTCACGTACCTAAGCCTTGCAGAGAATTCCCTCGTTGGGAAGCTGCCTTATTCCCTGTGTAAACTCACTAAGATATCTGAACTGGGTATCTCGGATAACTTCCTCTCTGGAGAGATCTCTCCGTTTTTCTTGACAAATTGGACGCAATTAATATCCTTGCAACTCCAGAACAATTCTTTCACAGGAAACATTCCACCGGAGATTGGCAGACTGACAGAGCTTACATACCTCCATCTTTACAATAATGAATTCTCAGGTTCTATCCCTCCAGAGATCGGAAACCTGAAGGAATTGATGTCGCTGATCCTCTCGAGTAACATGCTTTCCGGTGAGTTGCCACCCGCGCTATGCAACAGTTTTGCCTTTCAATACTTGATGATGTCTTATAACAATTTCACGGGCCCCTTGCCGGATTGCTTCAGGAATTGCTCAGGACTGGTCAGAGTCACGCTTCTACATAACCAACTCACAGGGGATATATCCAAGGCATTTGGAGTGCATCCAAATATTGAGTATATAGATCTCAGTGGGAATCAATTGTCTGGAGAGCTCTCTCCGGAGTGGGGGCAATGTGCAAATCTTACTGCTTTGCGCATTAGTGGGAATAAAATCACTGGTGAAATCCCAGCTGAGATTGGGAAGTTGACTCAGTTAGGAGTACTAATCCTTTCTTCAAATGAGCTGACCGGAAAAGTTCCTACTGAATTGGGAAACTTAAGCAAGTTAAGTCGTCTTTATTTGAGCAACAACCACTTTACAGGGGTGATTCCTCAAAGCGTCGGCAATTTATATGGGCTACAAGAACTGGATTTGTCAGGAAATGCACTGAGTGGTAGCTTACCCGTAGAACTTGGAAATTGTATCAACTTGATACAGCTGAACTTGAGCAACAATGAATTATCTGGTGAAATACCTTCTGAGATGGGAAGTTTGATCAACTTGCAGTCATTTCTCGATCTTAGTAGAAATTCACTCTCTGGACCAATCCCTCAAAACTTGGATAAGCTGATAAAATTGGAGAATCTCAACCTCTCCCATAACAATCTTTCTGGCAGGATCCCAAAAACGCTAGCTGATATGCCGAGTTTACAAGATATCGATCTATCCTTCAATGAGTTGATGGGTCCCGTCCCGACTGGCAAGGTTTTCCAGAAAACTCCCACTGAGGCCTTTACAGGGAATCCAGGCTTATGTGGAGATGTAAAAGGACTGCCCACTTGTAGTTCCAGCCTTGCAAATGGCGATTCGATCAAGCACAAGAAAATCCTTATCGTTTTCATTGTCCCGTCCTTCAGCATTTTACTTTTAGTAGCCATAGTTTTTGGAATTCTGATCCTGAGAAGGAAATCAAGAAAAGCAAATGTCAAGGACAGAGGAGGCAAGGAGGATGCAACTTCTAACTCATTGATTTGGGGAAAAGGAGGGAAATTTACATTTGGTGATATAATGGAAGCCACAGAGAACTTCAACGACAAGTACTGTATCGGAGAAGGAGGATCAGGGAGTGTTTTCAAAACGGTACTGTCAACAGGTCACATTCTGGCCGTCAAACGACTCAAAGTTTCAGATTCTAGTGATATCCCAGCAACAAATCGACGAAGTTTCGAGAATGAAATCAGAACACTGAGGGGAATCCGGCACCGAAATATCATTAAATTGTATGGATTCTGCTCCAAGAATGGTTGCATGTACTTGGTGTATGAGTACGTAGAGAGAGGTTGTTTGAGAAATGTCCTAACTGGGGACGAAGGAAGAGAGAAGCTAGATTGGGTGGCCAGGCTGAAGATCATACAAGGAGTGGCCCATGCTGTTGCTTACTTGCACCATGGCTGCGTGCCTGCTATCGTGCATCGGGACATATCTCTGAGTAACATCTTGCTTGAGTCTGACTTCGAACCTCGGCTCTCCGACTACGGAACAGCCAGATTGTTGAGTGCTAATTCATCCAACTGGACATCTATTGCTGGGTCTTATGGCTACATGGCTCCAGGTAAGCTGTCATCTCATTCCCTGTTACTGCTACTCCGTTAGTCGCTTCTAATTGTTAGGAATTATATATGTTCTGTTTTGGTTCATGGATGGGATGGGAACGATCCATGCATCCATATTTGCTAATACCAGTTTTTGTGGGGCAAACTGCCAACTGGGGAACCACCCCAGTACAGGGAGGTCCAAACAATTAGACCAACTGAAGAGTTCTAAGTTTCAATCTCTCTATTAGTGGATGTAATTAATTTCTAAGTGGCTAGAGCTATTTCATTCATAAATTCTTATCCCCTATCTTCATCTTCATGAACGTGCAGAGCTTGCATTTACAATGAAGGTCTGAAAAGTGCGATGTTTATAGCTTCGGGGTTGTATCATTGGAAGTTCTAATGGGAAGACACCCAGGAGAGTTCCTATCTTCCCTATCCTCATCACTCTCATCTAATCAGGCTGACTTGCTATTGAAGGATGTCTTAGACCAAAGGCTTGAAGCTCCCACAGGTCAATTGGCAAACAAGGTGGTGTCTGTATTTACTTTGGCTTTAGCATGCACAAATGGCAATCCCGACTCACGACCCACCATGAATTTCGTTGCACAAGAGCTGTCATCTCAGACCAATTCATCCATCTCTCTGAACCATTTGCGTTTGGCACAATCACACTGACCAAACTGATAGGTTATCAGAAATTGATCGAATTAAGCCAATCTTTCTGTTTCCTTCTTCGTGCCCAGAAGCGGGGAAATGATCAGCTGGAGCATGTACCCAAATGGAAGGATGTGGCTAGTTTTAAGTAGTTAATTCATAGTTTTTTTTTCCTGAAACAAGTAAATTCATAGTTCAGTTTAAAGAATAATGTTGATAACATAATATTTTGTATTTAGTATCCATAAACTTTCTTTCTGTTGGAATATATACATTGTTATTGGATGCTTATTGGATTAGATGCCGTTACAAAGAGTCTGGATCATATGTTGTGCTACTTTGCAAATACATGATTCTCATTCATGGATGAAGGTTAAAACAAATATTCCACTTTAATTAGGTTTTAACAAGAGAATCTTATTTGAATTTGAATTTGTACATCTCTGTAAGTAATTGACAAATGTGGATTCTTCCCCTTTATTGATGGATTTGGGTTAATCATGAGCTTTATTGATGGATTCGAATCCGCATCTTTGTATATCTCTGTACCACGCATTTATAAAATAGGGTGGCTTGTCTATCAAAGAAATATAGGTGCTATTCAGGGAAATGGTTCCCTAAACTATCTTTCCAATGAAGCAAGAATGGCTACCCAAGTTCTTTTATGGGGGAGATAATTCATGTTTGAACCAATTTGTGTTTGCGGTTAAGATCGGAATTCTCTATTGTTAATACATGTTTGTTTCAGATGGGAATCGGAGTCAAATTCCAATAGTTGGTGTTTGGTTTATTTGGAGTTGAAATCAGAATCAACTAAAACTTTTTCATTTTGTATATATTTATTATATTTTATAATTATTGTTTTATTATTTTTGTTCTATTATTATTATTATTGTTATTATTATTATTATTATTATTATTATTATTATTATTACTATTAATATTTAATAATGAATATATTAATATCTTTTAATGATTTATGAATATTTTATTAATATGTTATAATTATTTAGTAATTAATTCCTTTGCTTTTTATTATTAATTTATTAATATTTTGCTATAGTATTATTTTATTACTATTTTACTTATATTTTATTAATATTAAGGTTTTGAGGGATTTTCTTTTGTGAGGAATTCTTTATTTTTTGACAAACTCGAAAATGAGAATTTCATTCCAAATGGAGAAATCTGAAATGACCATTTCCCCATATTGGGGGATTGCATTTCAATAAGAATAGGAATCAGAATCCTATTCGGACCAAACAAATGACTGGAAAATGGAATGGGCCTTTCCCATTCTGATTCTGATTCCATGCTCTTAACCCAATTAGTGACAAGGAAGACATAAACCTCTTAATAGATCATGAAACAATGAGGTATCATGGGCCTAAAGCTAAGGACAGAACAAAGAGACCCCAATTCATTAAGGCTATATTTGGTTTGAAGGAAAAGGTAGGGAAAGAAAGGAAAAGACAGAAAATACAATACAAGGGTTGTAAAAGTTTCCCTATGTTTCTCTTATTTTCCCTACATTTTCCTTCAAAAAGAACATGACCTAAGTGCTTCATTAATCCAGATTTATTTTATTCATTCTCTTCAATCCCCTAAATTCTATCTCACAAATTTCATTAAAACGGTTTTCCAACCAATATTAATGTAATTAACAAATCACCAATTCTCACAGCCAATATTGAAGCTTAAAACATCAAGGAAAATTACCAATATTAATGTAATTCACAGATCATTTCTCGTATGCAGCATGGCCACGGTTTTATAGCTAGTGGCTTAAATATAATGTATTGAGACGGTTTTTAAATTAACCGTTGCAATACATCCCAATTTTGAGATAGGAAATATTAAACCGTGGCAATTTTATTTGCGCGGGTTCTAAAAGTTTTGTCTACTTGGCAAAAAGAAAGAATTGCCCGCGCATTCTTGCTCTCGCGTCTCTCAACTCTAGTTTTCACTCACTCTCTCTCTCTCTCTCATCTGAACCTGCTGCAACTCTCTCTCAATCGAACTCGCTCTCACTCTCACTCCGAAAATACCGATTTCTATTGGGTTTGCCATCAACAACATTCGTTACTGGGCAGAGAGCTTCACCCTGTGAGAGAGCATACTCTCTTTGCCTCACCAGAGAAGAAGATAACAGCCACCTTCATTTGGTGCCAAACCATCCTCGTTGGAGAAGAAATCTTCATCTCGTGCCAGGTTAAATAACAAATCTTCATTTGTCATCAAAGAAGGAAAATCTAGGCATCGCAGCACCACTGCTGCATAAAAAAAATTCAGGTTAGATAACAGCGGCTAAACGTATCATGCACCTTACAATTCTGGTTATTTAGGGTTCTTTTTTTTTTGGTTTCATATTCCAATCTATAACAAAATTACGCCAATGGCTCAATGTATTGCTGTTGTCAAGTCTAACAGTTTTTAGATATTGTACTTCGACAGGCCAAGTCAGTTTGAAAATCGACTTATCTATCCAAAGTAATTGGAAAGAAGGTAAGGAAATCTGTTCCCTTTAGTTTAATTGATCTATTTGTCTTTTCCTCAAGTCTGATTATTTTTATGCTTAGTTTAATTGTTTTGGGAAAGACAACTTTTTTGTTTTATCCTTATTCAATCATCAAATGAAAATACAAAAGGTAAACAATTAACATGGTACGATGATGCAAAAGATAAACAATTAACAGTCTATTCCCCTATGGTTCTGGTTCTCTTCAGATAACAAACACTTCAACGCCTTAAACCAGAGTTCTCTGAAGCTTCTCACTCAAAAGGGTTAATTGGCCAAACCTCCTCTCTTTAAAATTTACAAGAAGCCAGAAGGTTTTCTAATTCAAATGGAAAAGTGCATGGATCCCAAACATCAAACAAATTAAGGTTGTCGTGTTTTGTACCATTGCTGTTTTTCATAAAACGTTTGGGGTTGAGCAAATACGAATTGATGCTAAAATGTGATTTGTCATGTCATATGATAAGATATGTTTTGGATTGATAAATACTTGTATAAATACATAATTATATTCATCAAAATTAATATACATTAAAAAGAAAAGTTAAAATACAGAGTGAAGTAGAACCATCCAAGTTTACCTCATTAACAAGTAGGCCTCATTATCATTGTCCATAAAAATAAAATATGGTTGCTGATCATTGAAATTCAAAGGTTCACACTGGTTCTATGCATGTTGAATGCAGACATTAAAAAGGAGAGATTTTACAATCAAGAAGCCTTTGGAAGTCTAAACAATCTGTATGAATTTCTTGAGTTCATGAATATTGAACTTGGTGAATATGGATCTTTTAACAGGAGAAGTTTTATAATAAAGAAGTCTATAAGAAGTCTAAACAATCTTCTGATCATCTTATTGTGAAGCTCATGGCAAAAGTTCTTGGAAACAACTCCTTATCTGTAATCGAATCTGGGTTTGAGAACAAGCAAACAGAGCTCGCTGCAAGGTTTTCCTTAAAAGTAAGATCTTGAACTTCACTTTCAGCGGATCACTGATTGGTCTCACACCCTACCCACAGACCACATGATAAACAGTCTGAGTGTCTGACCATGCCAGTATGGATGTTCAAGAGGGGTGATAGTGACACCTTGTTTCTCTATTGGTTGGTGCACATAGCTTCAGTCCTTGCTAGGTATGGAAATAGCTGTACATGCTTTTATATCAGCATTATTGGGTTTTTAAATCTTCATTAAACTGTATATGCTGCTTGTGCTTCGATAATAAGGAAGATGTTAGATATTTGTTCAAATCATCAGATCATATCTTTTCAAGTTGGTCAAGGATACATGGAAACATGAAGACTAAAATTTTTTGGAGTTGCATTCTTTTTGATAATTACTCTATGTTGGGGTTTATGGAAGGAGAAAGAAACAGAAAGTTGTTCTAGGACAAGACTAGAAAAATCAAAAAGAACCTGTGCTATCTTATTCACAATTTCCATCTTATTGATGATTTTGACTGCTTTTCCTATACATTCCTGTTTTCAGCTGAATTGAAGAAAAATACCAAGGAAAAACCACCATCCATTAAGACACTTTTTGGTAGATTTTTCCTCTATCTCTTTCCTTGTACTTGCTTGAAATATCTATTTATTTCTTTCTGAAATTTCTCTTAGGTATATTTATCAAAAAAAAGAAATTTCTCTTAGGTATGGTAGTCTATAATTAATTAATTGATAGAATTGGCTCTACTGACATGCATCATTTGCCTACTAGGTAGGAATATTACATAATATTGTGCTCTAAAGTGGTTGTGGAGATTTCCGGGAGAATCAGACAGGTTATGGCATAAAGTGATCGCTAGTATTCATGGGCTCTCTGTGAACGGGTGGGATGCTGAAACTTCTAGCAGGGCCTCTTGCTTTTCACCCTGGAGAGCAATTCAGAAATGCCTTCCATCCTTTCTCAATCACATCAGATTCGATTTTAATTCAGGAAACAAGATCAAGTTCTGGGAGGATCTTTGGGTGGGTGAAGCCCCTTTAAAGGTTTCTTTCCCTTCTTTCTTCACCCTTTCTGCTCTCAAGGGTAAGCCAATTTCTGAGTTTCTGCTCCCCTCTCCCTTAGCTAACGGGCTTGGGTGGAATCTAGGTTTTCGTAGAAATGTGAGGGACACTGAGTTAGGCCTTCTTTCAAACCTTCTACACATTATTGAAGGGGTTTTCCCAGACCTAAGTAAACAAGATGATAGAATTTGGACTCTACATCCTTCTGGGGTTTTCAGTTGTGTTTCTTTTTTCAAATCGTTATCTATGCCTTCTCAACCAATTACTCCCTTTCCAGTCAAAGAGATCTGGTGTCATTCGATTCCCCCCAAAGTGAGTGCTTTTTGTTGGGAGGCCTTCCATGGTGCAATCAACACTTGTGATATTTTACAGAGGAAGAGACTTGGATGGTGCCTCTCCCCTAATTGGTGTTGCTTGTGTGAATCCAACGGTGAATCTGCTCTTCACTTGTTCATTTCCTGTCCTTTTGCTTGTGGTATTTGGGATCGGTTCTATTCTCTTTTTGGGTGCAGGTGGAATACTCTGGACAAATTGGACAGGTTATTTAATAGATCCACTTTCAGCTGGCCAAAAAGGAGGGGAGGACTGATGTGGAGGTGCACAAGAGCAGCAATAATATGGACTCTATGGGAGGAAAGAAATAAGTGTATATTTGAGGAAAAGAAAAGAAGAAATGAAGCATTAATTGAAGGGATCATGGCAAAAGTGGCCTTCTGGATAAAGACTTTGGATTTGTTCTCAGATTTCTCTATTGATGATATATTAAGGAACTGGAGAACAATTGCAGCCTCAACTTCAGCTAAGTGGATGACACTAAAGGAATGGGAACCCCCAAAGGTAGGTTTCCTGAAATTAAATTTCGATGGAAGTAGTTTTGGGAACCTAGGGCCCTATGGAATTGGAGGGGTTCTAAGGAATGAAAGCGGAGTGATTTTGGGAATGTACTCAGGTCCCATTAGGGTGTGTGACTCTGTAACAGCAGAATTGAAGGCAGTACTTTATAGGATGCAAAAACCTTTGGAAAAGGGGTTCCGGAAGCTAATAGTTGAAGGCGACTCCAAAATAGTAATAAGTTGGTTTAAGCAGAACGAGAAGATTCCTTGGTTTTTCGGAAACAATTTCAAACATTTCAAGAGGTTCTCAAGGGATATGCAGCTGATATTTCAATGGGCTCCTAGGTCGGCAAATGGCTTAGCTGACCATCTAGCAAAGCAAGGGGTAAATAGAGCAGAGTGCTTCTGGGCTCAATTGTGAGACTGATCATCAATTTGTCTATGTATTCTATTGTTGGTAGCCGAGGCTGCCCATGTTTCTGTATTATCTTTATTCTCTAAGTAATGAAATCTACTTTGATTACTGATAAAAAAAATATTCTGCTCTAAAATAGATTAATATATAAATATATTAAACTAGTAACATTAATTAATTAATTAATTAAATCAAGATAAATGCAGTTGATATTGTTTCTTAATGAAGTCTATATTCTTCTAGAAAAGCAACAAATCACCTTCATGGAAGTGTAGAAAGGAAAGTAAAGGATTGGAACGGAGTCACATTTGGTGCCTGGAATGATGGGGCCTATGTAAAGCTGGCTTCTGCCCCACTGCCCCTTTGTTTATCCTAAATGTATGAATTATGATAGAGGATTCTAAGATACGTTTTGTTTAATCTTTGCAATTAGTATAATGCTTATATGAAATCTCCATGGCTGAATGGAGCATCTGTTTACTCCCATGTTCATATGGTCAATCAGAACCATCCATTGGATGGGGGGGGATCCCCTGAATGTAGCATCTGTTTACTCCCAAGTGCATATCAACTCTATAGTCTATACCACATTTTATATTGGAGTCCTCCCCAAGTGTTACTCCTTCCACTCGATTTGAGTATATACAAATCCCACTTCCATAGAATTTAGAATCATGCATGGTGTTGTTTTGTTTTTGTCTTGGATTTTATTTTTGCCTGATTAAAGTCTGTCAACGAGGAGGGTTCTGGTTTAGATAACATGGTAACTTGCATACATGCAAAGCACTATCTTCTTCATTTTTACTGATGCTGATATATGTGCTTATAGTCCACTGTCATGGTGGGCTTTATGTTTCTCCAACCATAGCTGTGAGCAGGCTTGGGGGTTTGATTGCTGGGGCTTGGGCAGCAATGATGTCTCTAGGTCAAAAGGGTGAAATTCATCTACCCTCATTTACATCATAGATATGTTAAAGTTCTGCTTTTAGTACCAGAATTATATGATTAACAACCCTCTTTTCTTATTCATTAGTTCTGTTCTTTATGATGGGTAGCTGTGGTTCATTAATCTTGTAGGGTACTTGAAATGCACCAAGGAAATCATGGAAACATCAAAGAGAATCCAGAAAGGGTAATTGATTTTTCCATCACTTTGGTGGTATTCCAAGATTTCAGGTTCTCTAGAATCACCTTTGTTTTTTTTTTGATCAGCAAGAATCACTTATTTATCTTTGGAGAATAAAGGAGATTCCAGAATTATTTATCATTGGAAGACCAGATCTGACAATTGTGGCATTTGGTTCAAATGATGTAGACATATTTGAGGTGAATGATATTATGTCTTCCAAAGGGTGGCATTTGAATGCATTGCAGAAACCCAACAGGTAAGTCTTTTTTTCTCTTTAATATGAGATTTAAGGACTGTGAGTCCAAGAGGTCTACATGTGGAAAAGGTTTCAATGAAGCAGCCAAGTGGTCTTTTTAAGAAGTAAAAACCAATAGCCAAATGATGTAGACATATATGTACTTTGTCTTTCATTTTTTACTTCTTATTGGCATCAAAAAGCTTTTGTGACAATGTATAATGATACATATAAGATGGAAAGTTCTCAGTAATAGAATAATATAAATCAGAAGATAAACCCTACCCAAAGTCTTTTCAATTTGCACCACTCCACACCTAGAACACGAACCAATTAAATGACAGCCTCCAAAATCTTTAAAATCTAGAGCTTAGCCTCTCTGATATGATGGGTGTTTGCAGTTCTGCACATAACAGTATAACATCCAAAAGTGATGTTTATCACCTTCAAGATTTTATGTTGCTTTCTTTCCAAAAGCTCCAAAATATTGCTAAAGGAAATGTCATTTTACAAGGTAGAACTCCTAGGAGGTAGAACTCCATGCTGCTTGGAGGAAACACAGATTGATGATAATTGACTCATTGGAGAGCTTGTTAAGTTATGATGGGTTGGGTTTGGGCTGTTACCACTGAAGGGATGAGAGATCCATCCTATGGACGCCCAAAGATTGCGGAATAAGGGGCGAATTTCAAAAATTTTATCTCTCCCTTCAACTGGGAATCGTATTCCCTATTTAGAAAATCATATTTTCAAGGATCAATCTTGAACCATAA